GAGACGTGCTTCCTTGTTCAAGCTACCAGCAGCTACACGGAATGCAGGGAGCATTGCTTTCAAGATGTGGCTCTCGCAGTAGCACCACAACCCTTCCACCGTAAAGCTTCCAGCAGCTGCACGGATGGAGGGCGCATCGTGTTCAAGATGTGGCTCTCGCCTCAGCGCCACGTGCCTTCCGCATGAAAGCTTCCAACTGCTACACGGATGGAGGGCGAATCGCTCGCGACATGTGGTTCCTGCCTTAGCGCCGCGCGCAGTCGTCTTGAAAGCGTCCAGCAACTAGAAGGATGGGTGGGTCACCCTTTTAATATTATTCGCGCCTTAACACCACGCCCGTCTCCACTATATAGCTTCCAGCAGCTACACGGATGGAGGGCGCATTGGGCTCAAGATGTAACTCTGCCCTTAGCGCCAGGTAGCTTCCCCATGAAGGCTTCCAACTGCTACACGGATGGAGGGCGAATCGTTCGCAAAATGTGGTCCTGTCTTAGCGCCGCGCGCAATCGTCTTGAAAGCGTCCAACAACTAGAGGGATGGAGGGTGGGTCATGGTTAAAATGCCAGTCGCACCTTAGCAACACGCCCCTTCCACTAGAATGCTTCCAAAAGCTACACGGATGGAGGGCGCAACGGGGTCGAGATGTGACTCTCGCCTTAGCGCCTGGTAAATTCCTCCTGAGAGCTTCCAACTGCTGCTACACGGATGGAGGGCGAATCGCCCGCTAAATGTGGTTCCCGTCCTAGCGCCGCGCGCTGTCGCCTTGAAAGCACCCATCAACCAAAAGAATGGAGGGTAGACCATGCTTTGAATGTGGGTATCGCTTGTGCCGTGAACAGTCGTCTTCACGAGCTTCAAGTAGTTACAAAAATGGAGGGCGAACCGTGTTCAAAATATGGTTCTCGCCTCCGTGACGTGCACATTCGTTATTAAGGTTCCCAACAGCTTCATGGATAGGGGAAATCGTTGTCAACATGCTGGTCTCGCCTCAGCGCCGCGCGCATCCGTCCAGAAAGTGCCCAGCAGCCACCAGAACGGATGGCAATTCCTTTCCGCAACGAGGTTCTTGCTCCCGGCATCCTCAGATTGGATGGCCAGAAGTGGAGCAGTGTGCAACTGTCATGTTGACGGAGGGTGGCCCCATTGTCAAGCTATGATTCTCGTGTGCCACTTACGTAGAAAGAAAAAGCGCATCTTTTCGTACCCAGCATAGCTTCTAGTGGTTACCAGGAGACTTGGCCCGGGTGTGCTGCAGCATCGCTGGTGCAACCAGGGTTTACTCCAGTCCACTTCCTCCTCCTCCTCTTCCTCCTCGTTGACTCGGTGATGCGGACGAGTTCGCGTCGAAGCACCGATGCTCTCGACCCCCCAGCCCCACAAAAATTAGCGGGCTGGGATGGTATGAATGCGGGCCGCGTGCGACCGCTGTTAGGGCCGTCGAACCGTACGACAAGGAGACGACATGAGGGGGGACCTGAAAGGGAGGCGAGCGGGGGACCGAACCCTCCTCCTCCTCCTCCTCCTCCTCCTCCTCCTCCTCCTCCTCCTCCTCCCTCCTCCTCCTCCTCCTCCCCCTCCCCCTCCCCCTCCTCCTCCTGCCCCTCCTCCACCTCCTCCCGCCTCCTCTCGTCCCCTCTCCTCCCCTCCTCCCCCTCCTCATCATCATCAGTCATCATCATCATCATCATCAACATACATCATCATCATCATCATCAGCATCAATCATCATCATACATCATCATAATCATCATCATCATCATCATCATCGTCATCATCATCATCATCACATCATCATCATCACATCATCACATCACACCACCACACCACCACCATCATCATCATCATCAGCATCATCCATCAGCACTCCATCATCATCATCATCACATCATCATCATCATCACAGCATCATTATCACATCACATCATAGCATCATCATCATTCAGCACATCGTCATCGTCATCGTCATCATCATCGTCAGCTCTCAGCATCAGCATCACACATCATCATCATGCAACATCATACAGCATCTTCAAGCATCAACATCAATCAGCACTCAGCATCATCAGCATCATCATCATCATAATCACCATCATCATCAGCAGCATCATCATCATCAGCATCAGCATCATCAGCATCATGATCATCATCACCATCAGCAGCAGCATCATCAGCATCATCATCATCGCCATCATCAGCAGCATCATCATCATCAGCAGCAGCATCATCATCATCAGTATCCTCGTCTTCCTCCTGAGTGCGGGTGCCCCTCCCCTCAATTCTCTGCGGCGGGGTCTCAGACCAAGACCACCAGGCGGGCTGTGGTGTCCGAGGGGTGCTCGCGGCGAGGGAGTGGACACGCGCTCCCCTTTCCAATCGCCCCGAGTGCTCCTCTCTAGACCTCAGCCCAGGCGCTTCCGTCGCTAGCCAGTTCTCCTGTTCCTCCTCCTCCAAACCGTTTCCCCCCCTCCTACTCCTCCTCCTCCTCCTCCTCCTCCTCCTC